TTGCAGCACAGATGAGTGATCTGATTAATAATTTACATTTTTGGGGCTATATAACCTTACTCCTGGTCATGGTCTGTGTTCCTGAAAGTCTTCTGTTCAATTGAATGTTGTTTTATTTAGCCCTGACAAATGAATTATCGTTTGATTAGACATAATGTAATTATTTCTTCCTGCATAAAGAAAGAACTGTGATAGAATGACCAGCAGTTTGAGTTGGGGACTCTGTGAAGCTCAGCTTGCTCAGAACTGGAGCCTGACTAGGAGAACTGTCAGGCCACTCAGGGGGAAAAATTGTGGAGAAAAACTGCTTAGTACTCACGTAAAACCCCCACCACATTAGAAAAACTAAATTAACAAATGATTGAATCTCAAAAACATGTTTATCAACATTCAAGCAATTATTTAGTCACATATTAACTGTGAGGGAAAAAAATATCTGTGCTTGAATAACATCCCCAAACAGTTAATTCAAGCAGAAATGACTGGAGAAATTGCTCTGAGCTGATGGAAAAGGGTGTTCTTGCCAAGGTCAATTTTATTTAGGGGGAGTGGGAAAGAGGGGAATCTGACAGAAAAAAAAGTGTAACAATTGCCAAGAGCAGACAAGACAGCAAGGGAGGAAACCACAGAAGTACAGAGAAACTCTGCCTCCTCCCCACTCACAGGTATCTTTTTTCATCTCCTCCACCGCAAGCAGGTGGAAGGAAGGAAGCCTTCCAACACTGGGCAGGAATCAACTGGAGCTCCCTAGAATGGCACCCACACACACACACCTTTTCCTTCCTTAATAGAAAATACAATTAAAATATGGCCTGAACACAACGCACCCTTCCTGATCCACCCACTTGTATGTGTGTAAACTATACCAAACACTGGCCACAAAAGTTTCAGGAAGCTGAAAAAGGGATTGCTCCTGGCAGTACTGACATTCCACCAGCAGCGCTACACCTCCAAGAGTGCATAAAACACATCCCTTTTCAAAGGGTCCTTTGCGTAAATACCTCTCTCACCTGTTCACTGGAGCTGTCTGTATATCTGTCATCTACATGTGGCAAAAGTTGCTGAATTACATCATGAACTCCCAACTCCATCTAGGTTAATGTCCCTGCAATAATGCACCATTTATTTGGCTGTCACCACCTAGAGTAAAGTGGTCCATATAAATGAGCTGTCTACATAATGTGTGTACATAGTATTTTATGGGTGTCAAGGCATATTCACATACATTATCTCTACAAGATAAGCAGGACTGAAATTTTAACCCATTTTACAGATACAAAAACTGAGGCTATTAGAGTCTAAATAACTGCCTCAAATCATAAAGTTCATAAATGCAGACCTGAAAATAGGACTTTCTGTCTCCTTCTAGACTCATTCTAGAATTAGGATTTTCTGACTCCAAGCCCAGTGTTTCTTCCATTGCTCTTAAGCACAAAAATAATTTAAGCCTTTCGTGCTGGTGTTGAGGCTCAAGCAGAACATCTGCCTCACAGTGTGAAGCCCTGAGTTCAAACTCCAGTACCGCCCCCCAAAATTATTTAAGACTTTATAAATGGAAATATTAAGAAAAGATGAACTTAATTTGATCTTTCCTTATTAATTCACATCCATTATTGGGAACATCAAATGTAAAGCTTACTATATTTTTGGGATTACTGAGGCATATAGGATATATCCTTCTACAAATGGCCCTGATTGTTGTATTTAGTGAGTTACTGGGTCCATTTTATGTCCTCCGCTATTACTACCACTTCTTCCTTCCTGCTGCTCCTATGTACCGACACACACACACACACACACACACACACACAGCTATCTAACTGCTTATCTACTACTGGCTAGAAAGCTACAAAATCAAGCTTGGAAAGATTGTGGAGTAATTCAGAATAGCAGGCTCCAAGCAAGGACTCAAAGAGTCCTCAAACAGGTCCATTTGATAAGGGGGAGCTCCATGGCATTTTAGATGTGAAGAGATGGTTTCCGCTTAACCACATTTTCCCCTCTCTGCTAGAGTTCAAGTTGTGGGGCAGGCAACTTCCAGCAAGAGCAAAGTGCTACTGCATTCTGAAGAACTTCTGCTCAGTCACTGGCACCTGGAGGAAAACTAGAATCTTCCAACATGGAGAAAAAACCTGGATGTACCCCAAATATTTCCTGGAAGTACAAGGGTAAGAGTCACAATGAAATTCCACAGAGAAAATAGAACTCAAAGCTTGAAGGTGTAGAGGTATTACAGATGTGATGAAAATTGCAGAATTTGATCCCATTTTTCTTCACAAGGACCACACATCCCAGTTGTTTTTTGTTGTTGCTGTTTTATTTTGGTTTTTGTTTTGTTTTGTTTTGGCAGTACTGGGGTTTGAACTCAGGGCCTTGTGCCTGCTAAGCAGGCAATCTACCAGTTGAGGCATACCCCCAGCCCTTTTTGCCTTAGTTTTCTGGGGATAGGGTCTTACATTTATGCCCAGGCAGGTTTGGACAGTGATCCTCCTATTTATACTTCCCACATAGCTAGAATGATAGGCATGCACCACAATGCCCAGCTTTTTATGCTTGAGATGGGAGTCTCATTAACTTTTTGCCCAGGCTGGCCTCAACCCGTGATCCTCCACAGCTCTATCTTCTGAATACTAGGATTACAGCTGTGGGCCACCACACCTGGCCCACCACTTCTCAATGTCCTTTTACCATAGCACACTAAAAACAAGGAAAACCATGTCACATGATGTAGAAGCTGTGGCACCAATGAGACTCCTCATCTGTAAAATGGTGATAATTACAGTACAGACCTCATAGGGCTGCTGGGAAAATTAAATGAGATAATTATGTAAACGTAGAATCATATAGAAGGCACTTAATAAATCTTTGCTATTATTTATTACCATCATCATTATTATAAGTTAGGGGAGAAGAAAGAGAAACTCTACTTTTAGTGGAGTTTTTCAAAAAGAATTAATTAAGCAGAAACAAAAAACGATTGTGCTACCCATTTTCCTAAGCACATCTAAGTAAATTAAATTTAGGAAACGAGGCAATGCAAAGATTGAAAATAAAGAACAACTTTTTTAAATGCTTCAATCATTATCAAAACAACATTAGCAGTAGAGCACTCTAACCACTGTAGCAAAGGGCCCCAGGCTCATTTATGAGGGCAATGGCTTCCTGCAAACAAAGATATAAAATCCAAATCAAGGCAGTAAGGATTGCTCGTGGAACTGTGCACATATTTGCAGAAAGCACTCACTGCTGCTTAAACACCCCCAATGTGGACTACTGAAGGAATCCTAAAAAGACTATGGATGTAGGTCAAGATCAAGATAAGGTTTCTTCAACTTCATGTGGTGGGAAAATAGCTCAGGAGAGCTGCCACATCCAACTTCACAGGAATGAAGTAGTAGGGTGATTTTCTCAATAATCTGAGGAAGAGGATGTATATTTTAGGGAAAAAACACTGAAACACTGTGCCTGTCAATTTCAATTCACTAGAATAATAAGTAATTACAAGAAAAAGAGGAGTAAGGCCCTGCTTTTGTAGCAATCAGTAATACATCATCTTGTTGTGGTGCCTGGTTTTAAGTATTTTCTCTCCAAATGTTTGTCACATAAAGGATTTGAGAGCAAATCCAAGGCAGGAATGCCTTGAGGTCTGGAAGAATGATTTCTTTTTTCTTATGGGGCTTATTTTATTAAGTGAGGTAAGATAAGAATAAAAGAAGAGAATGGAACAAGATAAAGAATGAGTCCATATGGTGGCACGTTTACTAGGGTTATCCTTCTGCCTGTCCCCATAATTCAAAAGGAAAGTATGTGTGTGTGTGTGTGTGTGTGTGTGTGTGTGTGTGTGTGTGAGAGAGAGAGAGAGAGAGAAAGGAGAGAGAGAGAGAGATAGAGAGAGAACAACCAACAGAGTATCGTCCCCACTTTCTACTCTCCATTCACTTGACTAGTATCAGAGAGCCGTATCGGGAATCCAGTCCAATGAAATCCTGTCAGAACTTATTTTTGTCCCTTGTCTCATGCTGTTCCTATGTAGAAAACATAACATGCAAAGTATAGGACTGGACAAAGATATAAGTGCAGATACCTGGGGCTCTGCATGCCTTCACTCTACCATCCCCTTTTTAGCCAGGCAATGGTTTTAAGGCAACATCTGAGGGTTTAGTTATTCTAGGAGTTAAACAAATCGCCAACACTCCATTCTAAGCAAGCACCATGAAGCCCCAAAGGCTAAGACTCTGCTCCTCCTCAAACTAATTCTCATGTCCTATCACTTCTTATCACCCCACTGTCAGCCAGTAGATCAACTCTAAAACCAATCTAAGAAGTACATGAATGGTACATGTATTTTTAAAATCAGCCTAAATTATTCATTCTATAGCCAAATTGTTAGTCTCAACAAACTCTTCACAAGAGTGTGACTGCATAAATAGGTTAACAATTACTTCAAGCTTCTATATTGTACTTCATATAATCAACCTAACACCCCCTGGGGCTTTGACACAAAAAACTGTTGTGAATGTATGCTTTATTAGCTAATTTGAATAATTTTTCTTAGCTAATTCTAAGAATTTCATTATAACACACAAAATGAGCTATAATCACCCACCTTATAATTCAAAGAAGTTAATTCTTGTAAAGGTGCCATGAATCTAGAGCTGTACCATGTCAAGTGGCAAGAAGTATTATTTTTCTATCTGACCCCGATCCTGTCTTTGCAAGACAAGAAAATGGACTTCTGTTTGTTTAAGGAATCCCCCCCCCCCATCCATAACTCATTCTCCCAGTAACAAAAGGCAGCCTTGTGGTCGTTAAAAGTATAGAGTCTAAGAACCACATCACCTGGGTTCAGATTTTGCCTTTGACATTTATTTATCAGTCGTGTAGCCTTACACAAGTTATTTTACTATTCTATGTCTAAGATTTTCATCTGTAAAATGGGGATACTAATCCCTACTCATAAGTGTATTATGAGGATTAAGTGAATTAACACATGTAAACAGCTAAAAGCACACAGAGCTATCTAAGCGCTCCTTACTACTGCTACCACTACCACCGGTACCGCTGCCATGTCTAGCTGGATCTTTAAACCGAAGGAGGCCCTCGCCATGCTGTCATGGTAGTCCCCTAAGTTAGTAATGATCACATAATTTGCTGCCCATTCTAGCAATGCCACAAGAGCTTCTTTCACAGTTGTATAGAGGCATGTTAAGAAGAGAGATTCACCAGGAAAGAAGAGGTAACCACTCACACAAATGGGAAAACATCTGACCAACAGGCCAGGTTCTCTCCCTCGAATGGAAATTCCCAGTGGTCAGAAGGAGTTCATGTGTGTTCCCCTGGTATCTAACTCTCACTCCTGGAGAAAACTGGGCTTGGAATTGACGGGAACTGTTTTTGTTTTATTTTAAACAAGTCTTCTGTAGATATTTTCAATATACAGGGAATCAGAATGTCCTTGGACAATGATCTTTTGACAATGTCCCCCTTTTCAAAGATTAAAATGAGACTCCTCTTAAGACTGTTTTTTTTCCTTAACCAAGATTTCTCACTGGGAGGTTATTTTACATCAAGTATTAATGCTGGAATAGCAATTTATAAATTATATTTAGCATTTGAAAGCCCAGTGCCCAAGTAATGATGCCAACGAGCACTAGATCTAAAATGGTCCCCAGAACTCACCTTGGAAAACCGCAGCATTCTGAATAATTAAGAACTTGAGCTCCATGCTCGCAGACTGAAGCAGTTGTTCCATGTTCAGCCGCGCCGTCAGTTGGTATTTTTCTTCCATCTTTCTTGAGCAGCATGTTGGGCCCTTGGGGAGACATACTTGCAAATCTGATCCTGAAACAAACAAGGTTTTCATATTTCAGCAAGCACAAAGTCTCTCTCTCTCTCTTTCTCTCTCTCGCACACACATACACTACACACACAAAAGCAAACAGGGCAAAACAGTGCATTTCCTTTAAAATACAGTGAAATCTTGATTATTCAAAAGTATTGTTTACCTCAATCCCTCCTCCTTTTGTCCAGTCATACTTCTGATTTTTTTTAATAACATCAAAATTAATTGCCTGGGTTTGACTCATAAATTCCGTATAAACTAATTTATAGCACCACAAAATACATGTCATTGAAACACTGATATTTAATTTGACTGTTAAAAGATAAATCTTTACTCCTACAATTTATATTTCCTAATTATAACTTATGAACGAGAACATAACCAAGAAGCAAATTTTAAAATTCCAGTTACGATTTCCAAATGAAATGTATGCCTGACCAATCTAATATTATTGTTTTTCAGTATAAATAATCAAAATGTCAATATCATATCAAAGCATTTTGTCATTTTAGCAAAAGGTCTACCTACTTTCCCTCATGGAGTTTACATTCTAGGGGACAACAAACAAACAACCAAGCTAAAATATAATCATAATGTCAAGTGATGATAAGTATAAAAAGTATGGTATACCCACAGGATGAATTCTAATTCACCATAAAAGGGAATTAAACATTTCTACGTGCTACCACATGGATGAATCTCAAAAACACCATGACAAGAGAGAGCTAGGAATGTCACTCAAGTGGTCAAGTGCCTACCTGGTAAGTGCAAGTCCCTGAGTTCAAATCCCATTTCTGCTTCCCTCCCCACAAATGAAGAAAAAAAAAAGAAAGCCAGGAAAAGGGTGGGAGGGAGGCATTACAAAGGATAGGAAGAAAATTTTTTTTTATTTCTATTTTTTTGGTGATACTTATGTTTGAACTCAAGGCCTTAGACTTGCCAGGCAGGTACTCTACCACTTGAGCCACTTGAGCCCAGGAAGAAATTTTTTTTCTTTTTGAACTCAGGGCCTCATGCTTGCTAGGCAGGTGCTCTACTGTTTGAGCTACTCCACCAGTCCCCAGGAAGAAGATTTTTGAGAGTGATAGATATGATATGTCCATTACTTTGATTATGGTGATGACTTAATTTTTGTATACATGTCAAAAATATCAAGTTGTACCCTTTAAACGTGCTGTTTGTTAAATATTAATTATATTTCAATGAAACTATTAATTTTCAATTTTTTGGCAGTACTGAGGTTTGAACTCAGGGCCTCTCACTTTCTAGAAAAGTGCTCTATCACTTGAGCCACACCCCAGCACTTTTTACTTTAGTTATTTTTCAGGTAGGGTGTCTCGCTTTTGTCCAAGTTGGCCTCAGACTAAAGTTCTCCCACCTCTGCCTCCTAGGTAGCTAAGATTACAGATATGTGTCACCACATCTGGCTTGTTTTTTAAGATAGGGTCTTGCTAACTTTTTCTGCCTGAGCTAGCCTTGAACCACAATCCTCCAGATCACCACCTCCCACGTAACCAGGATTATACACATGTGCCATCACACCTGTCCCTATTTTTTTTTAATTTTTAAAAAGGAAAGTAAAGGAGATATGAAATATGGTGGTAGCAAGGACTATTCTATTCTATAGTCGGTAGTTAAGGAAGGCTTTTTGCATGAGGCAGCATTTGAGGCATGATGAAGGAAGTGATGGAGAGTCCTGTGATTTTTATACCCTCCACCAATATTAGCAAATATTTAGGCTCAATCAGCTCACCATCCTTCTTCAACTCCTGTTTGGTTTTTGCCACTGAGGACTGAATCTAGAGCCTCGTGCATGCTATGTACATGCTCTACTGTGCCAATCCTGTTTTATCCACTGCAGCTGGATACGGGTGGTTCATGCCTAAAATCATAACCTACTAGGGAGTCTGAAATTGGGAGGATCATGGTTCGAGAGCCAACCCCAGGCAGGGAGTTTATTAGACTCCATCTCAACAGCTGGGCATGATAGTGCCTACCTGTCACTCCAAGCTACACATAAGGCTGAGATCACATCTGTGGCTTCAGGCCACAGGCAAAATATTTCAAGAGACCCCATCTCAATGGAAAAAAGCTGGGCATGGTGGTACATGGCAGGAAGCATAAAATAGGAGGACTGTGGTCCAGGCTGGCCTGGGAGAAAAGCAAGACCCTACCTCCAAAATAAACAGAGCAAAAAGTGCTAGGGGTGTGATCCAAGTGGTAGAGTACCTGCCTAGCAAGTGCAAAGCCCTGAATTCAAATCCTAGTACTGCCAAAAAAAGAAAGAAGAAAATGTGCATCACAGATCTCCTGCTGTGGGGAGTGACTGCTATTGTTTCACCACCATATGGTGCAGCAGCGGCCACAGTCCCTAGGGACTGTTCTCACCCAGTGACTAATCCTGACAATTATACAAAGTCCTGTAGCACTTTGTCCACAGGGAGTTTTGGCTTAAGGACTCCCCACTGACCTTGCAAAACGTGCTTCAAACTGTACTGCAGACTATGAGTCTTTCTCCTCAACTCTTCCTGTTCAACCTGCACCATGTCTTAAAGGCTCTCCCAGCCTCCTTGGCACCCTCCCCCTTTCCCTTCACAAATGTCTTTCCCGATAAATCTACTGCACATCAGATTCCATATTGGGATAGATGCCAGTCCACTTGGCATCTGCTTCTGAGAGGACACAGTCTAACAGACCATCTATGTACCAAACAGTGTGCTACACCCTGGAGGTACAATTTGGACAGGACAAACTTGCTCCCTGCTCGCCCAAGGGAGTCACTGTCTAAAGGGATCAAGAAAGACCACCCAGTCATAGTAAATGAGCGCAATGAAGCCACATAGCTAGGTATGATGATCAAATGTGTATATGGAACATACCTTCCCCAACGTCCCATTAGGTCCTCAGCAAAGGAAGTTTCAATAAATCTTACTGAAGTAATGCTAGAACGCATATTCGGACATTTTAGACAGCTCTTCAAAAATTGAGGTTTTAATAAAGGGGAGTGAGACTCGTTAGCCCTAAGTTACGAGAAAATTTCTTTTTTATTACATCTTATTTCCCTAGGAATTCCAGTTGATTGTGCCGTTAATGTATGTGTCTAAGTTTTCTTTTATTAATATAAGAATAAAATTCACCAACTTCTGCCTCACAGGACCTCAGTGTTGGAGTGCAAGGTGCTGACTCGAAGCTCTTCACTTGGTCTCCTCAAGGGAGGTGCTGACAAGAGTGGTAAAGGAAAGCACAGATAATACGTCACCAAACCTAATCCAGCCCTGCAATTTCTCACACTGGATGGAAAGGTGATATTTAATGTCAAAATACAATTTAGGGTCTGGAGACACAGAGTTCAGATTTATCTCCTATAAATGTCAATCTCATATACAAGCCTTAAACTGATTTTAAATTTGGCCTCAGCTTAACGGCTCTATGATTATCTTCAGAAAAAGGAAAATAAACAGGGCTAGTTCCAGCTCACTGTGTTCTTTCTAGGTGAGGTCACCAAATACAATGCTATTCTAGGAGTATTAACTGGTGCGGATTACTGGACCAAGGAGAGATAGAGCCCCCTTGGGGAAGAGTGGCTAATCTACATTTAAACAAGGTTGATCGGGACACATGCGCAGTTATAACGAAGCCTATGTAGCACACCTTTCCATATACCAAGTTCCTGTTCATTTAACAAGGCTTTATGTTCTCTCTTGGTAAGCCAATGCCCACGTGGTGTGTGTTTAAAATCTCTGTACTTACGTAAAGTCCACAAAATTGTTATAGATAAAACCCTGTGTGTTTCTAAATTTGCACTGGTGATGCCTTCCAGTTTTCAAGAATGGCTGAGTTTACCTGGCAGGGTGGCTGACTATTAGCACTGTTTCTATTCCCATCTCTAGCTAGTGGGAAGTATAAAATAACAGGGATCAGATCTTTTCCCTTTGGAGTGCTGAGTTGCTAAGATCTCAGAAGGTAACAAATGGTTGTTATGTATCTACAGAAGCTCTGGAATGACTCTTCCAATTGCCATGACACCAGTTTGGTTTGCCTTTGATATGATAATTCATAAAGTTACTTAGAATTTCCACACTGCCCACCTTTCCTAAGGTGATTAGATGTCATCACTGTGAAAATCCTCACTACCTCAAGAATCAGATTAACTAAAAGTCTTTAAAGGAACAAAACCTCAAATGAGAACATTTTATAAAATATATCAAATGTCATGAAGAAAGGTATATGCTATATCCAAACACAAATGCATATATAGCAACATTTACTCCCCCCCCTCAGTTATCACCGCTTGGTTGGTCAATAAACCAGTACAATTGATCTTGAGGCTAAGAGTTAGCTATAGATTTGAAGAAATAAAGCATCCATAAAATGATAAGAATTCAAGATTTCCAAGTCAGGAAGGAAATACATTACAAAGGGAAAAATATTTTGTTGTAAGTAAACTTCACATAACAGATGAGCTTTAAAATATTCCCATAACAGCTGTGCACTGATGGCTCACGCCTGTAATCTTAGATACTTGTGAGGCTGAGATCAGGAGGCTCATGGTTGGAAGGAGCTCATGAGACCCTATCTCAACCAATAGCTGGGCACAATGGCACACAACTGTCATCCCAAGCTATGTGAGAGGCTGAGACCCAGAAGATTACAGTTCTAGGCCAGCCCAGGCCAAAGTTCATGAGACCCCATTTCAACAGAAAAAAAACTGGGCATGGTGGCACATGCCTGTCATCCCTGCTACTGTGGAAAGCCTGGGCAAAAAGCAAAAAGGACTGGACACGTGGCTCAAGTGGTAGAGCATCTGCCTAGCAAGTGTGAAAGCCTGAGTTCAAATCCTAGAACCACCAAAAAAAAAATCCCCATCACAAAACAGCATAGGAGAGCTAGAAGTGCTTTAGGGAAATGACAGTAGTGAAATATAACCACTTCAATGCCATTAACATGTAATCCTCATCAACTAGATAAAGAACCACCCTAGGAACTAAATCCCAAATGG